TAACCGTTGTTGGCCCTTCATACAAAAGGGGAGGCACGTTTATTAATCATCTACCCAAAGAAGTTAGTATGTTTGGCCCAAATAGCCGAGCCAGTCAATGGGCCTGTGCCCTTGTTGAACTTGTTGCCACTGGCGTTTCTGATCAGATATCCGAAAACCAAGCAATCAAGTATTTTCCAAAAGATGGCCAAAATAAACAATTTTCATTGCCGGCTGGCAATTACCTGAAACCTACACGCCTGGCAAACGCCCTCAACTCAATTTTTATAAAGACGCGCAAGCGACGAGATGTTTCCGTAACGATACCCGTGTTACCGTCAAATGTTGGTGAAAGCGGACCCGCGACAAAACTACTACCTAGGAATGATGGATCTGCGCAAGCAGAGCCAGTCGCAAAAGCCCCCAAAAGTTCTAATGAAATTCCCAAAAATAGTCCGGGACAGGCTGTAGCCACTGCCGAATTGCCAAAAAATAACACTACCAGTGGAGGTGCTGCAAAGACTACAACAACTCCTGCCGATTTACCCAAAAATTCTTCAGAAAAGCCACCAAAGCCCGTAACTGAAGACTTGCCCCGAAATGTGCTAGCAAATACACCAAAGCCCGTAACTCAAGACTTGCCGAAAAATGTCCCTGTACAACCCACCCTTGCGAGACCTGCAATAGCAGCCCCAATCCCCATGCCTGCAAGACCTGAACCTGTGCGAGCCCCTGAACTACCAAAAAATGTTTCACAGCCAGCCCAAGTTTTAACTCAGCTTCCGATACCACCCCCAAACAGAGTTCAAGTTTCTCAAGGTCCAGTGGTAAAGCCGCCCAAAGTTGAATACTCAACCCAAAGACTCCCAAAAGTGGAGGAAAGGTTTGAAAATGTTCCAGTTGCCAAGCTACCTAGTTTTACAGATAGTTTCTCCTTTGACTTGAAACTAAAAGCTTTAGAAGGTTTTGGAGTTGGTTTTGAATATGATGAAAATCAAGGGCGCTTCTCCCTTGAAATTGACACACAAAGGGTCAAGAAAGTTGTATTACCCACTTTGCTGTGGCAAATGATGGGTTTCGAGACAGATACTATTAGTGCCTCAACTCAGGCAAAATACTTGCCAGATTTAAACTTTGATTGTCGCACACTAAGGGTATATTGCGACCTTATTGAGCCCCATATGGTAGGCGGCAAAGAGATGGAACTGCTGCGTGCAATGGCAAATGATGCAAAGCCGGGCGCAACCTTTTGCAAAGCATTTAATCCACCCGTATACCACCTTGTCAAGCAAGGAAATTTCAATACTATAAAGTTGCGGATAACAAATGAAAGGGAACAAGAAGTTTTACTAAATCCTGGGCAGTCGCTGGCCCTCTTACACTTTAAAAGGGTTTACTAAACTGTAAAATTCAGTCTAATTAAAATGTCTGTAACCAACGCTTACGCACCCTTCGACCCAATGGGTATCGCCTGGGCCTTTGGCCACGCTGTCAAAGCCCCGCTGTCCAATGTTTTGAAAGGCAACGGACGTCTAGTCCCCTTTAGGGATGGAAAATATCTATTGCCTGTCAACAAACCTTTAGACTTGCCACCTCAAATTTTGAAAAAGTCGCTGAAAAAGAAACAAGTTTTGCCTCCCTTGAACCCATTTCCAAAAAGTAGAAAAGGCGCCCAGAAACGAAAACATGTCATTCTAACTTCTATCCCACCCACCAAATTTTAATGTCAACAATCAAAACCCTTGAAGCCAACCCCGAACTGGCATTTTCTAGTGAGTTGGCACTTTTCGAACCTATTCAACATGTTGTTGGCGTTCAGTCGATGCGTTATCGCAGCATTGCGCCAGAAAATAGCTCGCTTAACCAAACGGGTCCTTACACTTTTCGGATAATGAAAGAACCAAATTTTATCTCACTGGCCCGTTCCTATGTGACAATGACACTACGGCTCGTCAACTCAAAAGACGAAGGTTACGACCATTCAAAAACTGAAACCAAAGACAACAAAACAACCATCACTTTTTCGGAGAGATGTGCTCCAATTCAATACGCGGCGCGTTGCTTTGGAAGCAAATTACGGTAAACATTGGCGGCACACAAGTTGAAAACACGGGAGATCTCTATCCTTACAGGGCTTTCCTTAATGCTGAATTTATGACTGACGAAAACGTAAAAAGAAATAATCATGGACTTGCCCAACTCTATCATTTTTCGGAGGGAGGGCATGAGAAGGAGACGAATGATGGTTTTGAGAATTTGAGTGTCTTGTTCAAGGAGGGAGCTAGCGTTCAAGTTAATAGTCCTTTGGACCTAAACCTGGCGTCTACAAATCGACTACTTTTGAACAATACGGACATGCAAATTACTTTGCATCGTCAAAACGACCGCTTTTTGATTCGTGGATATGGTTCCGCGGATGAAACTTGGCGATTGGTTGTAGATGACATTCGGCTCGTCGTGGCCGAATATCAACTCTATCCATCGACCATGGCAGCCATTGAAAATCAGTTGGCCCTCGGGAAAAAGGCCAGTTATCCAATGAGAAGCTATCAGACCAAAGCTTTTTACTTGCCGGCTGGCACACTAAAGATGCCAGAAACTCAACTATTTAACTCTAATCAAATTCCTAGACGTATATTTGTTGGTCTAGTATCCCAGGAGGCGTTTGTTGGCTCTTATCAAAAAGATCCCTGGCGTTTCAACCACCACAATCTAAAGAACATGCAAATTCACTATGGAGGCCAAACGATACCGCATAAGCCTTGGAACCTGCGATGGGACCTAAACGGCATGGGTTGGACTGAAGCCCACACCCAAATGCTTGAGGGAACCGGCATGGCCGGCAGTAATCTAACGAACGGAGTCGATTACCACCACTTTAGAGACTCTAGATGTGTCCAAGTTTTTGAACTTTTACCCGACGCTGATGGAGGTGTCGAAAGTTTTGATATGGCCATTGCTGGCCAATGTTCGCTAGACTTGGAGTTGTCTGAGCCAGCTCCGACAGGTGGCCTGTATTGTATCGTACATGCAGAGTTTATGGACAAGCTTACCCTTGATATAACTAGGCAACCCCAGACTTTGGCAGTATAAATGGACAACCTTCAGTTGGAGAGACTACTTTCCACAAACTTTATTACAAGACGTCACTTTCGCGGAATTTTTACTTCGAAAAACTTACCGGAAACCAATTGTAATGGGTCGTATGTCATACACGAACACAACCACTGGACTGCTTGCTATGCTGCCGGCTCCACCGCCTACTTTTTCGATTCAATGGGGCAAGCCCCTTCTAGTAGAGTTCGACAATGGTTGCAAAAACATTTCAAACAAGTCTTTTACAACGAAATCCAGCATCAAGAGTATGGAACCCGGACTTGCGGCGCATTTTGCCTTGTTTTTCTTCATCAAATGTCTCTTGGGACAACATTTTGTGACTTTGTCAAGTTTTTTCGCGCTATATCTAATGATGACTTGTATGTAATTGCCTATTTGCAAAAATATTTCCATATCGTCTTGCCCCTGGCCTATGCCTCTCGGCAAAAAGTATAAAAGCAGTACGTAGCAGGAACGATCAGTCATTATTCTTCCAGTCTTACTTTTTTCTTATTCCCGAATGGATTCAGCTACCGTAACCAAGAACTCTTGCTCCAAATGTCAACGGGAGTTTTCGACTAGCTCTAATCTATCCCGGCATGCTCGTCAGAATTGCCGCGGCCCTTTGAACACTCAAACAGAAAATCCCTCTTGGGTTTATCCTGAACATGGAAGGCTACCAAAGTTTTTCCCAGGACCTGAAGACACCTTTACTACTGAGCAGATGGCAAATGTCCAACCGACTGAAGAGCAACTCGAAACAAAATCTGTCAAGGAGAATCCTAAAAACCCTGTCAAAGATGTGAACGGGAACAAAGTTTTTGAAATTTTGTTTTTTCATGATCCTAGCACTAACAATTTTACTTCCGTTGTTCGACCCCATTTCCAAACCCTCACTAGATTTCGTGCATAATTTTTCCTAAAATTTTACTTGTGATTAGTGTGTTCTATAAGAATAAATTATTAATTTAACCAATTTTGAAGCTAAAACACGTTTTAACAACATTTACAACATTGCCCATGCCTATAACATGACACAGACACCAGTTACCATATCCCTGCGTCTATGACCTGTACGGACAGTCTGGCTCCAACCGCAGGGAACACGGGGGCGCTTGCGCGCTGGCAGCGCGTAGTTCTAAGAGACCACAGACGACGAGGCATAGCGCACAGGCATTGGGCAAGCCCAAGAGACGATAGACGACGAGGTGATCGCGCGGTTTGCGCGTAACTACAGAGATTTTAGACAACGAAGTGATCGCGCGGGCAGCGCGTATCCCTAGAGATTACAGACAACTAATGATCGCTCGCTGTGGGATTGCCCGGTAAAAGACGCACGCCTGAGCGTCCGATAGTTCATATAGGGACCGGGGACTTCCCATAGATTCTAAACGTGGCTCGTTCCGCGCCATTTCTTCAAAATGGGTTGATACACACCATAGCAGTAAATTATACGTTTGAGAGGGGATCCTTGAACCAAAGTGTCAATATTTTCAACAAATTTTTTAACCCATTGAGTTTTGCCCGAATTTGAAGGGCCAACACAATAGAGTGACATTGGAAATTTGAAGGTAAACATTTTTAGAAACTGACCTAGTCTTTCCAGTAAATATTTTAATTACATTACAAACATTTTGTGTAACATTTTGTGAAATAGACTGAACTAAAATACGGGTGACGTGGCATTGAAAGGGGGTGACGTGGCATTGCAAGGTGGCATGGCAGTGGGATGACGTGGCAGTGATATAAAAGATAAACCTCTGTATGTGATATAAAAGTAGATATAAATGTAGTGTTGTTGATTCGAACCAAGCTAGAAATGAGGAGCACCAACGGGAAATTGACAGCCAAATTCTTCGAATCAAACACCAATGTACCTATTTTCTTTTGCGTGAAGTGGCGTAAAAAACTATTAATGTATTTTATTTCCTAGCTAAGTAAAGGACATTGGCAATGTAAGACAGGGGTTTGGCTTGGATATTCGAGAATCCGGCGTCGAGCAGAAGACGAGAAGCTTTAGGGCGGCCCCACATCGTTCCAAGGCCCAGTGCGTCTAAATTTAATAATTCTTAATGTTCTATAAAAGTTTTTAAACCTTTTTAACATGCAAAAAAATATTAAAAACGTTGAAGATACACTAAAAATGCTGAAAATAATTCTAGGTACGTAAAGACTAAATAGCTTCTGCACGACCCCCGCTAAGAGCCCAGTCCCAATTTACAGCGTTACCTGGCGAATTACTGGCCACCGGAAGGCAGTGGAAAAGTGAGGAGCCGTAGAACATTGCCGCACGCAGACTGTCTTTTTCTTTGTCCTAAAATTGGCATCTTAGATCGAAAAAGAATTTGGCTTTTTAATTTAAAACATTAACAACATATCGAGTTTAAAATGACTGACCTCCTTCGTATTCCCAGTACCATCAATTTCAACAACCGCCAAAACACCGCCCGGTTTCAGAACGCGATACGCTTCTCGAACGGACTAGAATAAAAATGTCTGTACTTTTCCATGACGCCTTACCAAATCGGGCCTCATCTGATCGTGACACGAGTCGAACAGGGTCACCAGCTCGAATTTCTCGCCCCAGTCTTTCGGTAGCGCTTCCGCGTAGTGATTGGAAAAGTTCTAAAATTCTAGATTAGCAGTCCTAGACTGATTTACTGTGTTTTTCAGGCCATCTTCTTCAGCATGATCCACGGCGATTTTCAGGGCATTTTCCGAAATGTCAATTCCATAGAAAAATGACTTGGGAAAGTGGCGGGCTGAAAAAAAACTGGTTTTATACTTATTGATTGTTTTTAATTTTGTAGTTGACAAACCAAAGGTTTACTTGCTCGCTGAAAAACCGACCCATCAAAAGTGAGTGAAAACCGCTGCCACAGCCCACATCAAGCGCCGAGATCTCGTTTGTAAGAGCCTCCTAAATTCCTGAAGTCTAAACTCAGCGAAAAACGTACCGTCATCCCCATATCCGGGACAATATTCGGAATTAAATGCTTCCCATATAACGCTTTTGTATAGACATCACGGCATTTGTAATATTCATCGAATTGCGCGTAATCCAGGCCTGAATTTCTTTCTAGAAACTTTCTGAAAATTCGACTGACCTAGTTTTGGCGATTCGATCCGCATCAATTCAGCCAGCTGTTCAAAAACCCCGCCAAACGTGGTGACGTACGACATTCGAGCGTATGGACTACATGGTGTTTCGATTAGATCCTGAAAATATTTTTTGTTATTGGAAAATGTGTGTTTGAACCAACCTTTCGCTTCTCAGCATCTATCCAAAACCTTTCGTCGTCATTCACTTCGATTATATCCGCGGTGGCCATCGTGGAAAGCCATTCTTTTACATATCTACAAAGGAGACCTTCATATCAATAGTTTTTTGTTAAAAAAATTCTTGAAAACCTTCTTTTAATTGCCTTTTCACAAAAAAAAACGCCAAAAACCAAATTTTGTGAATTTATTCCTATGTGAAAACATGCGTTATTTTTCAACAGATGATAAAAATAAATACCGACCTTTCCTTGCATGAAGCGGCTTCCGCTACCACTTTAGCCGATGCCGGATTCGACGGGGAGGATACCCCATCCAAAGCCTGAATTTTTAAAGCTATTTCCGAGGTTATTTACCTGTAAAAGTCCAAGTTTCTCGCCGAGTGCCACTGCTAACGACACCATTCCACCCGTGCAATAAAACTAAAATAACAAAAATGGCTTATATATAAATTGTCAAGTTCTTACCTGCAGTTTTTCCTTGAACTCCATGTTTGCGGCCATGTTTCAGGGAGTTATGCGTAGTTTGCGCCGGAAAAATGGCGAGTGCGTTTTGGGGGGAACGGCGGGTGGGTCAAAGGGTGAGGGAGGGATAGATAATCGATAGCTGCAGACACAACACCAAAAGAACAGCTGAGAGCAGCATTTTGATAGACAGTGATAAACAATATTTTTGATAAGACATCTGGTTAAATCAAAAGAATTGACGAGAAGCAGGAAGACACGTCAAAAGACACAGACTTTGGTTCTGGGCTGTGGGCTAGCGGGGGGACTTTTTGTTTTGCCACTGTCCCTGTTGAGGATATATTGTGTATTTTCATAGTGTTCTTAGTAGTTTTTAATTGCTGGAAAGACATAAAAATATTTTTAAAAATTTTGTAATCAGACATGTGGATCTTTTTGGGGATTTTTCATCTAAGCAATAACATCCAAAAATAGCACCTTAAAGGGACCATTCTCAGGTTTAAATATGCGCAATCGTCGGCGGTCGATTTCCCGGTTGTGTTCGGCATTTTGCATTACATCAGCCGCGGTGAAAATGGCGATTCGTTTGATTTCTCGATGCCCCGATTTCCACTCGCTGACCAGCAGCTCGACATATGGTTCTACTTGGGGCTCATGTCCCGCCCTGAAGGTGACACTAAAACTTTGGCATTTCATCTCAGGCGTTGTCTTTGGGTCAAATTATGCCCACCAATTCAATTGTTCGACGTTGTTGCTGAGGTATCGGATCAACTCGAGCGTCACAGTCCTCCCCGCATTGCCAATATTGACTTGTTGATATTTCTTTTGAAGTGGCTTCATCTCCTCAAGTCGAGCGATTCGAACACAATCCTCTTCTTCTACTCCGATCATTTCTAGTTCGAATGTTCGCATTCGAAAAGGCATTCGGGCTGGCCATTTGACAATTTTTGTGCGGGATATAGTAGTTCCAGATAGAAGTAGCGTCATGGTAGTTGGACTATCAATTCGATCCCATTCCGTGAGGTCAGATGGCGGCTGAGCGGGCGAAATCTCCGTAAATGTCTCATGTAATCTAACAGCATAATTCGACCAATTATTCTTCGATTCTTCCGTCTTTTTCCATAGGAATCGACACGAGCGGGCATATCGGAATCTTGTCTTCGGATCTTCCGTGGCCATAAAATTCAGAAGGCGTTCGTGGAAGATGACGGGGAGCTTCATGAAATCTGACGTCAAGGGCGTCTGAAAAAGGATAAACAGCGATATCTAATAGATAAATAGATAGTTAAGAGGCAGCACACTATGGACTCGTTGGTTATGCTATTGATTGGGCCGTGTCCCAACACTTTCATTACCTCGATAGAGTCGTCTGCATTTCTGCTGGCCATTTCGAGGCTGTTGTCTTCGACAGCCACGCAACAATCTTCCCTTCCTAGTTACGAGAATGTCGAATAAAATGGTGACCTTAGTCAAAAATTATGACGAAGAAGGGGTCTCGCCAAAGCGTCGGAGTCTCTGAATCAGCGGGAAAACCGGGAACGAAGATAAGAGCGCCCATTTTTCGGGATTTTAATAGAAATTGGTTGATAGCGACCGCTTAAACGATATAGCGCGAATAAGCGTACATTTTGGGTGAGCAAATCACTAAACGGATTATAAATAATAAGTAATAGCAGACATGGTATAACAACCAACGGTATAACAGCCAGCGGGATAATGGATCAATGTATCCGGTTATTCTCAAAGTTTCGACGTTATTGTTGAGGTAGTCGATGAGCTGGGGGGTCGGCGAAGTCGGAAAATCCACCCAAAGACGAACGTCTCTGTATTTATGATGAGATGGTCTCGGCTTTTCGATGAGAGCGATTTGTGCCGGCTCCCCTCCTTCAGAAACTGCCTTTTGCAAATCGAATGTCCGCATGCCAAACGGCGGTTCGTGTGCTCGACATGGCGAGATATCTGTCGAATATACCGTTGTTCCAGAGAGCAGTAATCTCAGGGTACGTGAACTCTCGATGCGTACCCTCTTGCTGACATCTGGATTTTGGGATGGTACTAGCCCGTCGGACGAGTGGGATGAAATCGGATTCGTCCTTTGGCTGCAATAAAAAATTAGTGTGGGTCTCGATGTTAGACGGAGAAATCTACAGGGTGGGTAAGAAAAAGCCAACTTTGCGCCATATTATCTCGCGAACGGTAGAGAATCGAAGGTACGTTACCATGCCAGAATGCTTAAATATGCTGGGTATGAAGATTTAACACAAGTTGATTTTTTCGATTTTTGGCGACGTATCAATACAAATGACACCCGAAAAATGTGCGTTCCGGCAAAACTTCGATTGCATTTTTTTGGATTGCTGGTGGTCAAACACTTCCAATTTTTACAATGTGGGTACCTAAGGACTGCCCCTACGCACATCTGGAATTTTGGAATTTTCGAAGGTCTGGTTGGCAAGTTATAACATGCTCAAATTTAATATGGAGAAATTTCGTAAATTTCGTATATTACAAAAACCTATGGTGGAAACCTCAAAATAAGCTGTTTTAGCATGTCTATGGGCTCGATACACTTGCACAAAAACATCAAAGAATTTTTTCAGATTCACGAATTTTTGAGTTTTTCGACGACCCCCTGGTCATGGATTTTTTCGAGGTGACGAAACTGAACTTTGAAAAAATACTCCTAAAGTTCCGAATAGAACCTAGGTGTTTTCTTTCCTTGGTTGTGTAGGACTGGGGTCCATCTATCATGTACACAATTTCTAGCTATCGTACCCCTTTGGAAGGTTGCGTTTTAGCGCCTCCAAAACGGTTGGTTCTTGCTATTCCGCAGACCTTCATGCCAGTTTATAAAATTCATTTGCGCGGCTAAAATTATTGTCATAATTTTATTTAATACTACTTAATGGGCGCGTTTTAAGATTATATTTACAAATTTATTGGGCCATCCAATCTCTCAAAAGAAATTCATGAAGAGCCCAAATATACCCGAATTCGAGGCGATGTAAAAAAATTCTCGAGGGTTTAGTAGCCCCGACTTTTCTGGCACAGACCAAGCTTGGATAGTCAACTAAAACGCATGGAAATACCAACCCTTTTCATGGCAAACGAATTTAGAAGATCGCCCCAAAGTCGGCTTTTCAAAAACGTTATTTTCGGGTTTGAAATCAAAATCAACCATTAACTTCATCCAGATCATTCCAGAATTTTGCTTTCATACACAGTTCGATGCGTGCTTTAATTGTATCCACCAAACCCCGGTGCCTTTTTCATTTTCAAAAATTCGATTTTCGGCCCGGGCCCTCGGGTCCAAAATTTTTCACTTTCCAAACCAAAAAAATTTTCCACTTTCCCTCATAACTTTGTCATTTACCCCAGAAAGTAAGTCATTTTTGCCTGCGTTCTCTTAATCACCCCGCGATCATTCTAAAGATGAAAAGTTGGCACTTTATGGAATTTTGTCTTGGCATGCTAAAACGCGCTCCAGGCGGGTTACTGTAGAAAACAGAAAATCGCCGTTTTCTCGTTCTTTTCATCATAGAAACGTTTCGATCTTTCAGAAAAACAAATAATAGTTGTTTTTGGTCCCATGCAAAAAAATATTTGAAATTTCGGTGGCTAAATTCAAAAATAAGTTTTTTGGATATTTTGGGAATGGGTATGGCTGGAACTTCGCGATATTTTGCCCATAGGTGACCCTTACGAGTGTTTATCAATGAAAAAGGTTTAAGCAAAATCGCAGCTTACGATAACAAGGAAAACGCGAAAAACAAAAACTACAGTATCCCTCTGGGGCACTTTTTAGCAAACAATATTAAAATACCATAGAATCAGGTAAATTTGGTGTTCACCTAAGGATTATCATGTGGAGACACCATTTGCAAAAGATCAGCCATGGGCAGCGAATTTGAAGGGAGTTACAAATTAAAAGGCAAAAAGCCGCAAAATAGTGAAATTTGTTTTGCTTGTAAAAAAAGAACTAGAGCTTGAAAAATTCTAAGAATTGGGGATTCCCTTTCTAAAAATATCAGCTATTTTTAGCCCAAAAACCAGAATTTTCGGGGGTATGACCGAAGCCCGAAGACAGAAGCCCGCAGGTACCAAAAGCCCGCACGCAAAAGCCCGAAGACAGAAGCCCGCAAACAGAAGCCCGCAGCGACAAAAGCCCGCAACTACCAAAAGCCCGCAACGACAAAAGCCCGCAACGACCAAAAGCCCGCAACGACAAATGCCCGCAGCGACAAAAGCCCGCAACGACAAAAGCCCGCAACGACCAAAAGCCCGCAACGACAAATGCCCGCAACGACAAAAGCCCGCAACGACAAATGCCCGCCATATATTTTGGCCTTCACGAAAACGGCTCTTTTCTAAGGGATTGAAATATTCCCCCCGGGTTCATACGTTATTTATAGTCGCTCGCACGGTACTAACGGACGGTTCCTTACAGCAAATGAACCAATTGATGTTGGAGGGCATCTTTTTTTGGCTTAATTTAGCCTTACTAGGAAAGTGCAAATAAAAAAGCCTATTCTCACTGGAGATTCGGAATCCCCGTCGTCGGTGTCTGATCCCTTCGTCGGCCTCGTGGCTGATCCATATTTTTGTTAAGCGATTTGTTAGCGTTTTTCTTTGCACTTTTCTAGTTAGTCTAGGTCTAGGTCTGGCATAGCCTCGACTTAGCTTAGGCGTGGGCTTAAGTCTAGGTTTGGCTTGGTTCACTTAGTACCTTAAGTGTAAGGTTAGCGAAACCTAAGACATGACTAAGCCAAGCCTAGACGAAGTCAAAACCAAGCCTAAGCTAGGTCTAAGCTAGGCCTCCTTAGGCTATTTGCTAACCGGTGTGGGCCCGATTGTCGCAAAAACGAGGTTCCTGGGCTAGTTTTGCGGGCTGAGTTCGAATTCAAGACTTTTAGCGTAGTTTCTTTGACAAACTTTGCAAAACAGCAGACTTTCTACTTTTTTGACGCCTTGTGGTCATCAAACTTACCTAGCTCCAACAAACTAGCCAAGTGGGATAGCAAAAGGAATGAGTTAGGATG